TCAGCAAACCTGCAGGATACAAGTTAAACATGTAAAAATTACTTGTATTTCTACACAATGGGTCATAGATATAAACATCAAACACACTAGCAATTAATAATATTTAGAAAAAAATCCTTTTATAACAGCATCAAAAAGAATAAAAAAGGAATAAAGTTAAAATGTAAGATATATACTACAAAATGACAAAACATTGTTGAATAAATATGTCCTAAATAAATGGAAAGATATCTCATGTTACAGATCAGAAGACTTAATAATGTTAAAATACAATACTACTTAGCCGAAACCGGTTTGGCTCAGTGGTAGAGCGTCGGTCTGCGGACTGAAAGGTCCTGGGTTCAATTCCGGTCAAGGGCATGTACACTGGGTGCGGGCACATCCCCGGTGGGGGATGTGCAGGAGGCGGCTGGTCGATGTTTCTCTCTCATCGACGTTTCTGGCTCTCTATCTCTCTCCCTTCCTCTCTGTAAAAAATCAATAAAATATATTAAAAAAAATAAAAATAAATAAAAAAATAAAGTACAATACTACTTAAACTTATCTATAGATTGAATGCAGTCCCTAATAAAAAGAAAACTCAGATTTTTTTTTCACAAATTGAAAAGGTGATTCTAAAATTCATATGAAAATTCAAATGGCCTATAATAGCCTAAAAATTCTTGGGAAAGAAGAAATATTTAGAGAAATCACATTTCCCAATGACACAAATGACACAAAGCTACAGTTACCAAGCCGTGTTATCCTGGTATAAAAACGGATTTATGAATTAATGAAACAAAATTGACAGTCTAGAAATAAAACCTTATATTTTGGGTCAATTTTTGACAAGTGTGTCAGAACAATTAAATGAGGAAAGATTAGCCTTTTCAACAAATGGTGCTGTGACAAATGGGTATCAATGTAAAAATGAATGAAGTTAGATCTTTTCCTCATAACATATGCATAAATTAACTAAAATGAATTAAACACCTAAATGTTACAGACAGAACTCTAAACTCTTAGAAAGAGACCTAACTGTAAATCCTTATGCCCTTACATTATTCATTGTTTTTTAGATAACACCAGTGCTCGCAACAAAAGATGAAAATAAATTGCATTTCTTCCAAATCAAAAACATTGTGCTTCAAAGGACACCATCCCAGAAAGTTAAAAGGTAGCCCACAGAATCAGGGCAAATATTTTCAAATTATATATCTGATAAAGGGACTAGCATCCAGAATCTATAAAAAAAACTTTAACAAATCAACAATAAGAGACAACCCAAGTAAGAACTGGTGAGTGATTTGAATAGCTATTTATCTAAAGATGTGTGAGGTGCAAATCAGCAAATGAAAAGGTGTTCCACATCATTAGTTGTTAGTCTTTAGTTATTTGGGGAATGCAACCAAAACCACAATGAAATATCACCTTACCTCCACTAATATGATTAAAATAAAAGAGAGACAACAAAAAGTGTTGGTGAGGATGTGGAAAAATTGGAATCCTCACTCACATTCCTGGATTGTAATATGGTACAGCCGCTTTGCAAAACCATTTAGCAGCTTCTCAATATGATTTAGCACCATTACTCCTAGGTATAGAAACAAGATGAAAAGAAAATATAGTTCACATAAAAACTTTTACATGAACATTCATGACAACATTATTCCTAATAGCCAAAAAGTAGAAACAACTCGAAAGCCCATCAAGTGATGAATGGATAAAATGTGGCATATTCTACAAATGAATTGTATTTAGCAATAAAAGGAATGAACAACAAAGATGAACCTTGAAAGCATTATGCTAAGTTGAAGAAGACAGCCACAAAAAGCCAAATATCATAGAATTCAGCTTATATAAATAAATATTCATAACCATAAAAAAAGTAGATTTGAGGTTGCCAGGGACTGGGGCTGCAATGAGGAAATGGAAATTAAATGCTAATGAGCATAGGATTTCTTTTCTGGTAAAATTGAGCGTAGTGATTTTTGCACAACTATGTGAATACATTAAAAATCACTGAATTGAACACCTAAAATTGTGGCTCTTATGGTATGCAAATTAAATGTCAATAAATCAATTGTTTTTAAAAATGGGGGTAATACCTTCTGCTTCATAGTGCTTATGGGAAAATTAACTGAAGAGTTGTGAAACCTTTTGTTACAAAACTAGGCATCCAAATATTTGATGAAACCGAAAATAAATTTTACCTGCTTTCAATTTTGCTCAGAATTGGATGTAATATACTAGCACAGTAAATGTGACAAACAGATCTCCAGGGTCAGAAGCAACTTTAAATGCCTACTCCTTTTGTGCTCATACATTGAATAAAATTCTGGCTCATTCACAAAAAGAGCTAGGACAAGATAGACTTTTGCTCTCTGCTTTTCCTTTCTAGACCAAATAATCATTTCTCCTCACCCACAGATTCTTCAACTTCTGTGCTGGCAGACAAGATTCTTATCCACACAATCTCCTTCACTAGCAAGCATAGCTCCTTCCTCCCAGAAGATTTGAGGTATAGATCTCTTACATCAGACTTGAGAAAAAGTGCTGAGCTGAAAGCAATTATTTCAAAAGAAAAGAGAATTTATAACATCATCCACAACTGAACCTATTCTGCCAGTGTTTTTGTTGGATATTCTGACAGTTCAAGGCTTACTGGATAATGGAGCCAATTAACTTTGAGCTCTACATAAAGTTTCAGATGTTTTTAGGACTCACAAACTTTAGAGACCACGACTTTCTGAAAATCCCTAAGAACACTGAGATGCTGAACTCAGAATCTGGTTCTGTGACAAAAGTCTGCCTTCAGGCCTGTTATGTAGTTGTGCCTACCATAGGGAGGCTGGCTGGGGAAATGACAAGACTAGAAGCTCACATTTACTCTCCCATGCCAACTTGCCACATATATGATTGCACAAACTGCCCTACTTAAGAACACAGTTGTCACATTCTATTATAATTTGAATCATGATTTTGAAGTGGGGCAAAAATTAATGTTACTTTATATATAAAATATATCTTATATTACATTTATTCCAATAGAAAACTAATTGAAATATTCCATGTCAGGAAGAGTACATCCCTCATACATCCAAAAAACTGTCACTGTTCTATGTTTGAACCTATGTTTATATCCATCAAGGACATACTATGTGCCAGGCTCCACTAATATAGAAATGGGTAAAACACAGATGAAATTCTCAAAAGGAGCTCCATCTTTTGGCAAAAAAAGTTATACCGTAGTATGTTAAAGGAAAGAAAATAGTGCTTTGTGAACACAGGGTACAGGACACCTGCCTGAATCTGGGATGTCATGGCGGAGGATGGGGGGGAGGTGTAGAGAAATGTCTGCACTGATTCCCAAAGATACTATATGAAAGGTAGATGGACAAAGGATGTTATGGAACAGCTCTTTAGGTAAAGGAGTAAAATGTGTGTATTTATAAACATTCAGTCTAGCTGGAACCAATTATTGAGATTGGAGCCATGAGATGAGTTAATTTACAATGGATAGGTAAGAAGGATTTATACTTGGCAAATACATGCACCCATCCTAAATCAGTCCCATCCCACTGAGACTGGTCATAAGACTAAGCAAGAAACAGTTGGACAGGGAAAAGGCCTTATTAGGCTTCTTCAAAAGGGCCCCTTGGGGAACCAGGGTTGCCTTAAGAGAGCATAACTTCAGAGAAGCCTCCAGCCCCACCCTTGGGGATTAGAGTTCAGCTTCTGGTCATAGTTAAAGGAAATAAAGGAAATAAATTCCTTCTGCCCACTCTCCCCCACCCCCCAAAACATTCAAGAGTCAATTTAACAAAATGATTTATTTGTAACAACCCAGTTCCCATCACTTCAATACAGCACAGGAGTTGAAAAAGTTATACTGCAAGCATCCTGCAGTCCAAGGTAGAGCTCCATGCCCCCCAAGGCAGCAAGCGCATCTCCTCCAGAGACCCATGTCCAGAGCCAAACTGAACTTGCACAAACAGGCAAGCGTAGAATGAAGTCAGACTTCAACATGATGCATCCTTCCCCACAGACCTTTAATCTTCCTCACTGCAATCTCTACCCGCACAACGAGGCCAACTCCTAGCCTCTGAGACACCAGAGAGCTTTCTATATGGAGTAATTAACAGGGGTTTAGGTGTTACATAAAGACAATAACCTGTGAAATTTAATCTTCTATAGGAAGGTTAAAATGACTCCCCTATACATAATCCTAATGAGAAATGACATCTCTTTCTTTCTCTTCCCCATAGATGTGGGTGGTTTTGAAATGATTTTGTCTCAGACAGCTCCATATTTCCCTAGTGGTCTTATTGAAGGCTGTTCTCCTCACCCAAGGACAGGAAGGAAACTCAGATGCTTTTCCCAGGTCCAGAGGCTGAGAGGAAAAGCTCCGATAATGTTGGAAAAGCCATTCCTCTGTTTCCCTTAAAGGATTTTTGTGGAGGTTATTGCTACAAGTTTTCTAATATATCTGGGAAAAGTTAGTTTAGATTTAGATGGCAAATCCAAGCATAGAGGCAGGCAGTCTTTCTGATTGGTTACTAGTTTCTAGAATGTAGGAGGCAAGGAAGAGGAGTATAAAAAATCTGTTTGCTTTCTTCACCCCAAATATTCTAGAGAATCTCAGAAGATGTGCCAATAGAATGATTCCACCTTTACCAGGTCTTGGTGGGACAATGCCTAAAACATATCCATAATGGACTCGTGACCTTTTTAACAGAGTCACCATGAAAAGACAAGAAAATAGAGGACATATCCAAAGGCACATCTTAAACATTAAGGGCTCTGATTAGTGGTCAAAACACACTGATGCTTGGTATCAGACTGTTTTTATAAGTGAGATCATAAGCAGGGAAGGAGACTTAAGTAACAACACTTAAGGCAAGAAATAGAACCCATAGTTTAGCTAGAGGATCACTGCAGCTTTAACGTTGACATTTGTATCTTTATTTTAAACCCTACTCCAATTTCTTGAGAAACCCGAGCTACCTGTGTCTGTGCTATCACCTGCATGTGCAGGCCTGAGCAATCATATCCTCATACTCCTTGTACAAGATACTCCCATTAGCTTCAACCATAAGGATGCTAATGGGAACATACTTATAAGGGACACACGAGGGCCGAGGGACACTCTGGTTCACCAGCTCATTGACAAGGTTCTGGATGATGGCGTGATTAGGAGAATTGAGACCATAGTGTAGTACCCGAGGACAGGCACCCTTACAGTAGTTTGGGGTATAGAGATTGGGAGCAATGATCCAGTGATCCCAGCCCAGCTGGTGGAAACTGACTTGGAAATGGTGGAGGGAACACTGGTTACTCTCAGGCCTATCATGTTCCTGGGAGGGGCCAGGAATCTTAGATGCAATACTGCCTGCTTGCCGTGCCCTACGCAAGAGAAGAGAAGAGTCCCTTTCCATAAATTCCTCCAGGCCTCCGGGTAGAAGTTTGGCCTTCTGAACACTTTTATGAGTGTCATTGAAATAGAGTAACAAGAAGGCAGTGTCCAAGGATGAAGTGCCATGGCACAGGAGCTCCTGACCCGCACTACCTTTTTGATGCTGACACATGAAGCACAGTCGTAGGATCCGGTGCCTCTTGTGATTCCAGAGTCTTTGCTGAACGTGTTGAGTGACATCCATCTCTGTCCAAGCTTCAGATAGTAGGGAAGGTTTTGAGGAACCTCTTCCCGAGGAAGGAGAACAGTTGGTTGGGCTTTTCTGGACCCAGGGTTCCACATGGCAGGAGAGCTGGAAGCCAGCTAGTTGGAGTTGATGGCGGTAAACCACAGTGGCTCTGACTAGTTGGTAGGCTACCTGGTTTGGCCTCAAGGGAAAGTCCAGGGTCTGTATGTGCCGAGAGCCTGCATAAGTAAGAGGAAATAAGAACGGAGGATTAACTTCTTACCCCTGAGCCTGAAACTCCTTTACAAACCTCAGTACACACAGACAGCTGTAAGCAGCCCTAAAATTAACTCAAGATCACAATAATAGCTATTGTTTATTGAGGATTAGCTCTTTAACCTACAATAGCCTTATGAGCTAGTTATTATCCCCATTTTACAAAGAAATTAAGACTCAGAGAAGTCTATGCCAGAGGTCATACAGCCAGTGTGTGGTACAATAAAAATTTGAGCCCAAGTCACACCCAGTTCTACCAATTACTAGCTGTGTTACATTGAGTAAGTTACTCTAAGTCTCAGTTTCTTCACCTATAAAATGGGTATGTTAATAGTACTTACCTTATAGGATAGTGGTATTAAGGAAGATCATGTTTGTATTTTACCCAATGCATGGCACCTGGTAAGCTAACAGTAAAGATTAGCTAGGGGATGTTGGCTGTTTTGCTTGGAGGAGGGAGTGTAAATCTTGTCTGTTGTCATCTTTGAGACTAGCAAAGGCCTAGGTTTGATATAACAATATTCCAAAGGTTTCCTTGAAGTTGATTGACTATCAGCTTTCCCTAGGGAGCCCTGCACTTTAGGAACCCACTACTGTCCTGGAACAGTATCTAATGAAGATGTTTAAAACAGAATTAAGCATAATGAGAACGAAGACAATTCCAAAATATATGTTACCAAAATCCCAATGTGGCAACATGATCTAAACACACACACACACACACACACACACACACACACACACACACACACACTCACCCCTGCTTGGTAAACAAGGATATTGGGGTATAGCATTTAAACACTTGCGAAGTTATGAACATGCTTTAGAATCAAAAAGACTTGAGCTCGCTGGGACCCGTTTGGCTCAGTGGATAGAGCGTCGGCCTGCGGACTGAAAGGTCCCGGGTTCGATTCCGGGCAAGGGCATGTACCTTGGTTGCGGGCACATCTCCAGTAGGGGGTGTGCAAGAGGCAGCTGATCGATGATTCTCTCTCATCGATGTTTCTAACTCTCTCTCTCTTCCTCTCTGGAAAAAATCAATAAAATATATTTAAAAAAAAAAAAAAAAAAGACTTGAGCTCAAATCCTGTCCCTGCCACCCACTGTCCTTGTGACCTTTGCAAATTAATCTCTCGGTGCTTTAGTTTTCCTTATCTTTAACAATTAGCCTAATTGCTCTATGACAGCTAGTGATAGTAGCTGTCATTAAGGATTAAATACAATTGATATTCACTCAGCCAGAGTACAGCTTGTTTCTGTCCTTTCTGAGGTTTTGTAAATGTCCTCAAGTCAGCATTCTATTCTCTTTGCCTTATTTTAAGGATAAAACATATAAACAGCCCTCCACAAGATTGTATATGGGTATTTCTCAATTACGTTTTCAGTGATATAACAATAACAAGCAATAAGAGTTTTTTTGTTTGTTTTTTGTAAGATAGAAGTTGACACATCATTCAATTGCCCTGGGGCCTTGGAGATATTCCTTAGGTAGACCCAAGGCAATTCATTCTTAAATTGGGTCTCTAAATGATAGCAGGATTGGAGCCAGCTTTCCCCAAGTTTGCCATTCTTTGAAAACCAATCCTGAGAAAACAACCTCCCAATCAGGCAATGAAACCTGACAGTAAACTCGGATCCTTGACACTCTTCCCCAAGACTTCTCTCCCTCCAGGACAGTATGGAAAGATAACTCACCTTTGAGGGGCTTTGCTACATTGGCCAAGGGCCTCACCAGCCTCACCATGGTTGCCCCAATGGTGCGGTTCTCCCTCGGGTGCCCATGCGCATCAGCTGAGCGCTGGTACAACTCCAGCATGTACCGCATGGGGTGCTCTAGGACCTGTGGCTTCCTCTGTGGCTTGTTAGGGGCTTCTTTTAGCAGCTCCTGAATCAGGGGCACGGTAGGGACTTCAGCCAGGGGGGCAGTAGAGTGCTCCCCTACCGTTCCCATGTGGACTCTGTGTTCTGTGAAAAGCACCAGTCCCCAGAGAAGAATTCTAAAGCTGCTGAGGAGGACCATCTTGAAAGGCTTGGTGTTCCAACAACGTATTCCAGCCCAAGCCCAAAGGATATCACTCTGTCTCTTTCCTGTCACAGAGGTAATTGCATCCTGGCTCCACAACCGCAAAGGAGAGGGCAAGAAAAAAATGAAAGGCAGGTAAGCCCTATGTTGCTTCTTCTGGGAGGATCTTCTGGACCAAATGAGGTCTCCTTACTTGGCCTCTTTGCATCAAAACAAATAAAAACAGCAGGTGGGACAGGGCAGCATGCCCCTCCTGCTCTCCAGAGCTGGTAACAAGATAGCACTTATTTGGAGGCTGAGGCAATTTAAAAGGAAAAGTCCATTCCAGGACCTGCTCCCTTACCTTATCCACTAGGATGAAAAAAAAGCAGTACTAGCTAGTTCTGCTACACAGCTTTAAAGGAAGTCTCTTAATCAGTCCTTAAAGGGCCAGAGGACTCCTGCTACCGCCCTACTTCCATGCAGTACTGTCTCTAGTGCAGCATTTCCCAAAATGTGGTCTGCTGATGACTTGCAGTGAAACTATCCTCTGTGGCTGGTAAGAATGCAGACTTCTGGGTCCCCAGAAATCTGAATCTTAGCAAATATTCCAAGAAGTTCCTGGAGACAGTAAACGTGGAAACCACTGTGTGAGTGTGGCTAGTAGAGCTTGAAGAAGATGCCTTAACAGTGGTTCTCAATCTTGGCTGTATATTAGAATCACCTGGGAAGCTTTAACTATCAGGGATGTGTGGCTACCATCTCCAGATATTCTGATGAAGTGGATCTGGGTGTTACCAGAGCATCCCAATGTTTTAAAGTTCTGCAGGTGATTTTAATGTGCAGCCCTGTTTGAATGCCTTGACTTAGAATTTTCTGGTTTACCATGGAAGATGTTGAGATCCTGAATGCGCTTCATCAGAAAAGGCTGTAGCGATAGAAGATGAATCTGTGGAAGTTGGCTGGGAGCTACCTAGCTTGGATGGTTAATGGGAAGCAGCAGGACTGGGTCCGTTTAGTTAAGGCTGCCCTAACCAGGATTCTGCAGAAAAATGATAGGTGGAGTTCTGGTTCTGTCTAAAGAGAAGCAGTTTGTTGGGGTTCTAAGGAGAAGGTGGTGGAAGAGGTCAAGCCATCGCTCTAGGAGATGATGCGGCAGGCCTGATTGGTAAGAGGCCTTTACCTCATACCCAAAATATCTATGGATGGGCATCATTATGGTGAACCAGGCATGGACGTTGTAGTCACACTATACTCCCCACCATGTGCTAGTTCTGGCCTCATGAGCTGTGGAGTGGCAGCCAAGAAGCTACTTTGTCCTTTACCTTATCCACTAGTGCAGTGGTCGGCAAACTCATTAGTCAACAGAGCCAAATATCAACAATACAACGATTGACATTTCTTTTGAGAGCCGAAAACCGACTTCTGGGCATGGGCCACAAAGTTTCTATCGCACTGTACGTGTGCGCCCGCACATGGTATTTTGTGGAGGAGCCACATTCAAGGGGCCAAAGAGCCGCATGTGACTCGCGAGTCGCAGTTTGCCCACCATTAGGATGAAAAAAAAAAAAAAAAAAAAGCAGCACTAGCTAGTTCCGCTTCACACCTCTCCTCCCTCTTCTCTACCCCCTCCTTGAATTGCGATGTTCTTATTAGCTGGAATGTAACTTCTCCAAAGCAAATCTCTTCATTTCCCTGAGCCTCACTCTCCTCACCTGCAAAATGGAGATAACATGTTTTTTTCTCACAGGTTGTTAGGAGGATACAAAGAAATAATGTATGCTCATTGCACAAATCTAATTAGACACAGCATGTGTGTCACACAACATGTTGGCTACATGCTCAAAAATGATTTGTTCCCTTTCCTTAGTTTTTCTAACATGGCCTTGGTCCCTGCTTTACAAAACAAAAAGCCCAGTGTGAGGGTTTTTTTTTTTTTTCTTTCTTCCATCTGAACTGTTAGTTCCTTTAGAAAGTTGTGAGAATATTGCATGCATTTGGATTGTGTACAATAATATACAAGTAAGGGATCCAAACAGATGATTCACAGTAGGCCAAACCTGATTGGCAAGAACATATAAAACGATGTAATGGAAATCAGGAAAACGCAATTTAAAATCACACAAGATGCAATTCCACACCCATTGAATTGGCAGCATATTAAAAGGGTGATGCTATTAAGTTCAGGTGAAGATATAGAACACACGTAACTCTCTTACATTGCAGTTGGGGAAGTGACTTGATACAATCACTTCAAAAAGCAACCTGCATTATCTCCAGTAAAGTTGAAGATGTACAATTCAGCCATACCGATGCTAGAGCAGTGGCTTTTAGAAATGTTTGTTTGTGGCTCACAGCAATAAATACATTTTACATTGCAACCCAATACAAGCATAAGCACACACACTCACACATATGTACTTGAAGTAAACATTTTCTGAAGCAATATTTATCCTTACGACATATTGGGAGGGGTAATCTATCATGATGGGGTAAGAGCACGGCTCTGAAGCCAGAATCCTGTTTAAATTCAGATCCACCGTTTATTACGTTGATCTTGGGGCAAGTTGTTCAACTTCCCTGTGCCTCAGTTTTCTCTTTTGTAAGATGGAAACCATAGCTTCTCTCCGCTTCAATTTTCTAACATGTAAATGGGATTAATCAAAAAAAAACTTTCCACAGTATTTTTGTAAGGATTAAATTTGTTAACACACACGTAAGGCATTTAAAGGGGTGGCTGGCACAAAGTAAATTCTAGACACAGGTTCATTGTTACTACGTTTGATGCAAGTTGTGCTCACCAGAAAGCTAGGCTTTCACTGTTGTGCTAGTTCTGGCCTCATGAGCTGCCAAGAGGCAGCCAAGAAACCTCTCTGTCCCCTTGGTCTACATGGCTCCTCCCTCCTCTCTTACCCGCTTCTCTGCTGCCCCAACATTCTCTTTGGCCCTTGACCTCTGCCTGTTACCAATTTAAACTTCCTATTTTTCTATTCAACATAGCTAAATAAAAGAACAAGTTGTCAGGCCAACTATCAAAGGGTCTATATAAGAGTTTTGGGTACAGTTTTCTTTGATGTTTCAGTGGTATGGGACTGGGATTACATCTGTCAAGAACATTTTTCTGCCATCTCTTAGTAATGCGATTTTGACATAGGATCAAAAGAAGCAAAAAGAAACAACATATTACACTGGAAAGAGCGTGATTTGGGTTTGAATTTCTGGTTCTGCCTGTTATTGGTTGTTGCTTAACCTCTCTGTTTCTCAACTTTCTTAACTGTAAATTGGGGATATTCTTTACTTTCCAAGGCTGTGGTGAGCTTTAAATTAGATAATGTATATAAAGTACCCGACACATAGATAAATGGTCAAATTTATCATTAACAGCCTATGATTTAAAAGTATATATAAGTTTATCTGACCGAAGGAAATATCTGGTCAGCATTCATCTAAAGTTCAACTGAATTTTTATTCCATCCTTCATACTCTGAGGAGACACAACTGATTGAATAGATCAGCTTTCTTATTTTCAGGAAAAGATCCTTAAAGCAACCCCATTCTTACCTCTAGAATGTAAAGAAGCCGATATGATTATTTCCTTGAAATGCCCTCTGGTGGGCCCAAAGTATGATACTGTCCATACCCCCAGAGAAGGGCACCAACTTCCTGTTTAGCTTTATGGTTACAGGTGTGGGGTGAGGTATAGGGGCAGGTTATAGGTGAGTGGAACAGGGTCAACTAAAGGATATTTACCAACCCTTCCTGCTTTAGAAAAGCCAGTATGTGGCAAACAACTAATTGCATAAATTGGACACTGTAGGTTCTTGAAACAACAAAGTGGGTCACCACAAGTTGCTTTGAGCAGCAGGTATCCTTAAAATGTGGTGTGGGTTAACTTGAAATTCTAATGTGTTGGGCATACTGGTAAAGTGCATGAAATTTATAAAGGAGTGAACTTGTATCTAGTTTTGGGGAGGATGGCTATTTTATAAAGTAGACATGTATAAAGGATTCCTTCTTTTACATTATTATAATTCACATTTTCTTGCAATTGTATTCATTCAACAAATAGCTAAGTAAACACCTTCTTGTATTAGAAATTAAGGGTCTAGGGCTATATAGCTAGACTGTGTGGGTTCAAATTCCAGCTCTACCACTTAACTAGCTTGGTAATTTTGGGCAATTGACTTGATGTTTCTTTGCCTCAGTCTCCTCATCTCAAAAAAATAAGAATAACATCGCTTTAGAGGACTGTTGTGAGGATTAAATGTGTTAATGTACATAATAAGTATACAGTGTTATAGACACATATTAAACCTTGATACTACAGAAATTAATATGATAAGTCCTCATTTTCAGCACTCTCAGGCACTATACTAAGCACTGAAGTAGGTTGGTAGATGCCAAGATAAAAGTTTCTATTTCAAGGAGATAACTTTCATAGTGACATAAAAGATAGGAACCATTTCCCCAAAGCCACGGCATTTTCTCTGATTACTGTTCTGAGTTCTTGAAAAATGGACCTATTTTCTAGATATGTTGTTTACAAAATCATCTTCTATAAAACAAAGATTATAGGGAGGGGTGGGTAAAAAGGGGGAAGGGATTAGATGTACAAATTGCCAGTTATAAAAGCAGTCATGGGGATGTAAAGTACAGCATAAGGAATATTGTCAATAATATTGTAATACTATAGTGTCAGGAGAGTGTTAGATTTATTAGTATGGTCACTTTCTAAGTTATCTAAATATCTAATCGCTATGTTGTACACTTGAAACAAATATAATACTGGTATTGTATGTCAACTGTATTTGAAAAAGAAAAATATTATAAAAAAACAGATTATGGTGTATTTTTAGAAATATGAACTTGATACTAGACTACATCCTCTTATATTCTATTGTATCTCATTTTATCTTCATATCAACTCTGTGAGTTAGGTATTGTTATTCTCCTTTAAAGATAAGGAAATTTAAGATAGGAAAAGGAAACTTGCCCAAGGCTGTAAATAATGGAGTCCA